GTGCTTGTGAGCTACGAGCTACGAGAACCGATTTTCAATATTTGTTTACATTATACTCTTCTGATCAGATCACAGCTTTTGGACAGCAAAAACGGCGGTGCTTAGGGTAGTTTTTCCCAGTGACATCAGCCTAACAACAAATACACATTGATTACGTTTCTGTTACAGAAATTACTGAGCTCTTTCAGTCCGCCTCAAGAGGGGTGTAACAGTTTTGTGAATCACGGTGAAGAGGAGGAAATAGGAAAGCGTGTTTTTCAGTGGACGTTGTCCATCAATAGGAATCAGCAGCGTCTGTCGCAAAATCGGGGTTAACCATGAGAACGTCGATTCTCACTCTTGATAAAGATATTTAAAAAAAGTTAGCATAAGAAACTGAGGTATGGCCATTACTAATGAGAAAAGTTTCACTACAAACTGATCTGAAAGGCCGATGAAGAGCGCTTATTGGTCAGCGTCAGTACTGGTTTCGAACTTGTCGAAATTATTACACGCTCGTATATAAGGACTGTCAAAGGACGACACAAAATTTGAGAGCATTCGCGAGTGCATATTCCGTAATATATGCATATGACCCTGAACACATAATCATCATAGGTAGTACAATGAAAAATGTCTGTGAAAAAAATATAATTATGAACATGGCTTCTAGTTACTTCTGAAATTCTCAAAACATCATATTCAGTTTGAAATGCTACATTTCAGGTCAACTAACAACGCTTTATGAAGGAAGCTTTGCCGATACGTATGTGTGCTTCAAATAGAATGAGTGTAGATCAGGATTCTTTTTCGAAGTTTGTTCAACGTACGACTTGCCATTCATTTAGGTGAACATATTTTATAGTCCTTAGAAAGAAAGTATAGCTTTATGGATTTTTTATTTACTAAAACATTTCAGTCATTTTTGAAAATTATTTTCAGTTTTAGATTAGAATGGATCCTAGTCTAAGTGATTACGCCAGCCACCCTATGACGCTTTACAGTTTCTGGACAATGAACCACAATTCACCAGTATCAAACAATCAGAACCCGTGAGGTTCAAACGGAAGCTGTATGATGTTAAGAATACAAGGAGGCCATTGACGAACACCTGTTTATCCAAAGGCTTTCTTTTGTGTATATTATTTAATCCAAATGATTTTTTCAATAAACTACTCGCTGTTTCTGTGGCAATTTTACTGCGTTTTAGTGAAGAATGATTCCAGCGCACGATTGCTAGCGCTTCAGTTGCGACCGTAATTTGTGATCCGTAATCCGTGATTATTGTGATTACTAAAATGTTATCATTTGATATGACAGGCCATAAGTTTAACAATATGGTACGTTATAGCCTATCAAAGGTTTTAAAAGAAAAGCAACGAGGTCATCCATTTGGGTGACCAAAAAACGAGCATCATTCATATTTCATGAAAAAGAGTCACAGCGTGCTCGTTTAAATAGGATAAATTATATCGCTCATTGAATGATAAGGGTTAAACCGTTTTGAATCGATGCACACAGTTTCAGGCATTCATTTTGAGTTATAGATATGCTTTTCAGGGAAAGAATCGGCGCAAGGTTGTCTTCTTCGTGGTCTGTATGATTCCAACAGACACCCGAAACTGTGCTTTACGCAACCATAGACAAAAACACACGATTACAAAATATATCTCATGATAACACTTAATCAAACGGTCCTGATTAAAGCACAAAACCAACTAAGCTATAGGTTCTCTCTCCTTCATCTTGTCTCTTCTATTTTAATTAACACATTCGTTTCCTCGTTGTTTTCGCTTTGTTCTGCTCCGTATGAGCAAAAACAATCGAAAGGTTTTGTATCAGGGGATGAATAAATTGAATGATATAAAACTGTTATATTCTCTTTGCGCTTTTTAATAGGATAATAGAAACTGAGTACTCACTCCTGTAACAATCAACACAAAGGATGATTCTTCACAGATGCATTAAAATAAGTGTAAACCAAAAATAAGAACACGGTGGTGTTGGAATCAAATGTACCCTTCTATTCAATTTCAATGCGCTACTTTCACTCAGACCCAGTTTCACTGTTTTTAACCATTCATCAATCCGTGCTATGAACAGATTTGCTTCAAATGCAATCTAACTAATAAGAAAACCACCAAGATAGGTTTTATTATCCGGGTTTATACAGCAGTATTCCTATTGCAAAATCATCCATAGCGTGTGGCTAGTATTCAACAACCATTGCACTGTTCTGATCAACAGTCGAAACAAGTGGTGGTCATTTGTTGAATTGATATTTTATTTATTTTGCTCGTTATTATTAAAGAGAAAATTTTAAACTCAATTTTTCAGGAAGGAAGACGCAACCAATACCATGTGATATTAGTAAAAGTGGACTTTGGGTGGCACAAGCGGTCTACAGACACAGAGTCTACAAGGCTGTGTTGGTGAGAAAAACAGGTAGACCTCCTTGTTGGTAAGAATTGTGCAACCAGACGAGCGCGATCCGTGCTGGTCGAAGAAACGGTATAATCAACCTCGAGCTCAGGCTACCACCGGTTTGACCTGATTGTTGAGCTTGATCCTTGAGTGACTCATGGTTCTAAAAGTAATGTTTATAGTAGTGATTGTAAATCGACACAAGCTAAGGAACGAATAATTGATCAAGAGATTGTATAAATTTGAATCAACGAAGCTTTGAGTAAACAAGTTAGTGGGTAACAGTTAGGCGGTAACTCTCTATCTGCCAAAAGTTTCAATTTATCAAACCCAAAGTAGAAAAAAAACCTTTAATGCACCTGTCACTTTGATTCGTTCAATGGACGAAGTGACAAACAATCTGCAATCAACGTGAACCTGAAACTTTATGTAAGGTGCCGTTAAACTGTGAAAGACGGTCGACGAGTTTTCATTCTCCTTTGCAATTGCGAGCACGTGCATGTTGCGCAAATTATACCATTTATCTCTCGAAGAATCACGCGATATAATGTGGATTTTGAAACAAGCTGAAATTGGAACAGGAAGACCATTGGCCACACATGGTTCCCTGACAGTCGATAGGAGCCGGATTGACCGCAACGGTTACCGTGTGACAAAGTTGCTAATAGCGTTTCCGTTATACAGAATGAATGAATCACAACGTGTAATTCCATAGCATATAGGGATTAATTTCTAAATATGTTGAGGAAGGTTGAACTAAGTTTTATTACCATAAAAAGCACTGGCATCGTGCAGTTTTTACCAATGTGGTTTATACTTACGATGCAGCAGATATGATAAAGATTTTTGTTTGTCCCCATTACAAATTAAGCAATTAAAAATAATATGCTTATATTTGAGACATTACTGCGACCACTGGATCTTACGAGCATAGATAACTGGCAGTTATGTGAACACCGCTTACACATAATCCTGATTGGTGTCAACCAAAGCGCGGAGATAAAGACGATATTTTTGAACAATTTCAATCTTGACGTAGGAGAATGAATCAGCAAACCGCGATAATTCGCTAAATTTTGGTAGTAAATTTAAATGACTAAGTTGTCACAGTTCAATGGCATAAGTTGGTCTAGGTGGTCCAACACTGAAGCCACCGTGGCTTAAACATGTTAGGTCATATCTCCGTCTAATGACTTGAGAATTTGCGCAACGCTATTATTCTTTCATAAAACTGTTTATGTTTTCAATTTCTTTTTTTCAACTTCCGTTGCATTTCAGATTTGCATTGTTTCATCATTACATACTTCGGTTTTATCGATCTGCTGGTGCTTTAGATTTTACATCTCTCCACGAGGCCGTGTTCTTTGTTGCTCCAAATATTATTCAAACCGTGTTGTGCCCTGATGATCGCTCTGTGCTTTGTTCTTCCTTATTATTCCGCAAATATCTACTTGTGATCTGTCTTTATGTCTACTGTGAGAGACTGGGGTTGGAGGGCTGGTTTTCTAAATCTCGTGTGCTGCTACCCCTTTGACTTATGCGTTATGGCTCTTGTGTGACAACGAATCAGAGATCGCATCGTGTCTCAAATGTTTTGCACCTCGTGTATCATTCTCTTACCTCTCGTGTTTGTGATTATAGTCTCAGGGGACCTTGGATCCACTGGTTTCGATGTTTGTGCCCCCGATCGCTTACTGCGTTTGCAGTCTGTTCGAAAGAGATAAACTAATGTGTTTTCCGACAATAAGTGGCATTTGTGAGAGAATGGTCCTGCGACCCGTGCTATCACAAGGAGAAATAGCATGTAGATTAAAATCCAAATCAACTGATCGATCATTATTTGTCACTTTAGGGTATCAAGCTTGGATTAGACCATTCGATTTTTCAGAGGCACCAGGCACTCTTGATGGTCTTGGGTGTGGGTTTCACTCCGTGGGAGATCGCTAGTTCCCCACATTTTCCGATAACCTAACCTAGCGTAAATTTTGTCATCTAAAAGGTAACAGTTTATATTATTGAGTGGTATCTGGTGACCACATTTTGAAAGAATGTCATGGTTTTATTTTTGAGTTTGCAGATGTACATTTTTCAGGTTGTTTAATCACCCATCGTTCACTATTGTATCAAACTGTAATCACAAATTCTAAAAAATCAGGTTTTACCTTACACAAATGTTAGTTACAGTAAGAAAACAAATTTGCGACTCCTTAATGTTATATATATGTGTGTGATATAATAATAAGAGGAAGAATCAGTAATCTGGTAAGATATTTCAACTATATCACCACCATTTTTCATGTGAAACCAGCACTTTGTTGATCTATATATTTGAACTATATAGATAAAATATATCCTTTGTTCACAGTGATCAACTTTGTTTCGGGGGTTAAATCGTTTGATGGCATGCTGCCAAAACGTTTTGTTTACACTGTTCACTATTTATAGAAGATTAAATCGGCAGGTCTGAATAGCATGTGAGCAGAAATTTTGGGGGGAGGAGCATATCTGTATGGTTTTGCAACGCCTTTACTATAAAGATCATGGTTCCGTAGAAATTACGGTTTGCAGGTAAAAGTAATCGAATTTGGAAGTAGATATCAGGAAGAAATTTCGGAAGCGTTTTTTGTCTGGTTTTCTATTAACAAATTGAATTCATTTGAATGTGTTGGATAGGACGGCTTCATTATTGATTCACTTTCCAGGGGAACGGGATTGAGCGGTACTTCATCCACAATTTGAGTGAGACAGGGCGTAGTCGGATCCACGGTTTGCTCGGTCAATGTGATTGTTTGTATCGGCTCCTCGGAAAATTTAACTTTAGAGGCAGTGTCGGTAGTGTTGACAGTGTCATTCTTTTTAGAGCTGGGAGCATGCAAAATTGGGGTTTCGGGTTCGGATGCATAACCGACGCGAACGCCAGATTCATCGGGTTCAAGTAATGGGTTCGTTTGGTCCGCATCGCTGGTCGGCCCGGCAGAGCGAATTCTTTTATCACTGAAGCTACGAGATAGATTTGTACACAAATTCAATGATTCTGTTGCCTCTTGATGCTTAAGAACTTTGTCCCGACGCATCTGATCCTGATAGAACGCAGCGAAGTTGTTTACAATGATGGGAATTGGCAAACCGACAACGAGAACACCACAAATACAACAGACAGATCCGATCACCTTTCCCAGGATCGTTTTTGGAACAATGTCTCCGTACCCCACAGTAGTCATGGTTATGATAGCCCACCAAAATGTGGCCGGGATACTGGTAAACATATCTGCATTTTCATCTTTTTCCGCAAAATATGCCAAACTTGAGAACAGTAAAACCACCAGGACCACAAACATCATGAGCAAACCAAGCTCTTTGTAGGACTGAGTCAGGGTATATCCTAGTGCTTGTAATCCTTGGGAATGACGAGCCAGCTTGAACACACGTAAGATACGCAGAATGCGAAACATTTGCACAACTTTGCGCACGGATACGAGAGATTCTACGGTCGAGTTGAGCCAGACTTCGAATATTTTGGAAAAATAAAATGGCAAGATAGCGATCACATCGATCAAATTCATGGGACTTTTTGCGAATGCACATTTGTTCGGGGCTACGGTGAATCGGACCAACAGTTCGAATGTGAACCAGATGGTACAGACCAGTTCCAGTACTTCCAGTTTCGGATTGATGACCAAATGACTGTCCTCGTGGATCAGTGACGGTGGTGTATCGTTATGATGGGTCACATTGACCCGGAGCTCGGGCATTGTGCTCAAATTCAGACCGATAATTGAAAGTAGGATGAAAGTGATGGAAATGACAGCGAACACCTGCAGTGAGAATAGAACAAAAGAACAGCCGGGAATGCAAAAATGTTATCATGGTCTGTGAAAAGTCCCCAAGCTAAGAAATGTTTCAAAATGAAAACCGGTTTTGGTGCATACAATCAATACTATGCAGTGTATTGTTCTTCAAGAGACAGGTTTGAAGTAAACAACCAAGGACCACTCGCTTAGAAGGACATTATTTGTTCCAGAGGTTGAGGTTATTCAAGCGATATTAGCGATATGATCGAACCCCACCCCCGTTATCTAATTTTTTGCTTTTCGTTGTATTACCTGAAAATAAAGCTGGAACAGCTTTGTGATCAACCGGCAAGAATCTAAAGAAAGAGCAATGATGGTTACCCAAGTGCTTTATTCACCTGAAAATCCATGAAGTGCAGATTCATAAAATGATGAAGTTCCTGAACACAATCACTGGTTCCTCATTTACTATTTGTTCTTTTGTATTCCACACTGCATCAGCCTGACCTCATGAGGGCATTGCATGACTCAAACAGCTTGGTAATGTTCACATCTTTGTGTCTCTACATCGCAATTTCTATTTTATGCGAGTATTGTAGGATTTCATTTGTTTATGTGATGAATTCGTCGCGTAAAATGAGGCGTGAGCTAAAAAGCTGGGAAGGACTGGACAGTTGTTTCGACCTGGTTGGGTCTCATCAGCAGCGCGACTCCAAAGATCCAACTGGAGATCTAACCTGGGACCTCACAGGTAGAATGCAAACATTTTACCCACTCGGAAAACCGGCAGTTGATTAGACCGCTTCTAATTTTGAATATACAAGCCCAATCTACCTATGTGAGGTTGTTGCCAGTAGCGATCCTTGCTCATCTCAACACTAGACTTCAAAGTTATGATTCGGTTGGAAACATTCACAACCTGAAAAGTTCTATTCCTTCGAGTGTTTAACGTAAAAATGCATCAAGTTTTGTTATGACACTTTGATTCGATTTAAAACCAAGCAATTTGGCATTTTATGAACTAATCCCATTTTCCAGAGACTGCCAACTGTTTTTCCGTGCCTCATTTCAAACTCTCACTGGGGACTAAGTCGTTTACGGTTCGATAGCTTAAGGATGAATTGCCTCTCCAGTCCCAATATTTTGTTCTATGTCAGTTTACGTACATTTTTAGTACTCGCACAACGAGGTGTTTGTCCAAGAGGGTACTTGAACATTGTCTGGCAGCTCTTCAAACAGGAACAGCGAGAAGCTTGAACAGCACATTTGTGCAACATCTGGTCGGCAATGGACACAGGATTGACACAGAAACATCATTTACAAGTTTCCTCACCGCACCTAAGAATCATAGCAAAGGATTACGTAAGAATATCCCGACAACTGCTGAATCCATTGAAGGCAGAAATATGAGTTCTCCAACCAAAGTAATCTGCTTCCAGCGCTATTGTCACCATGGACATAGGAATATGTGACACTTTTTCTGTTCTCTCCTCCCCCACCCGCAGTACTCATTTACTATCATTTTTTCACACTTTCATACCCGTTTCATTCATTTTTGACTAACACCTCTGTTATGTTCTTTAATTCACACTTTTTAACTCGGCTTTACCTCAATTAATTATCGAGACCTCATAGCCTGTTGTAAATCGAAAAGTGTACACAGACATTCATTCCATATTAGCTTAGGCATTGTATTAATGTATTGATTAATCGAATTATACATGAACATGCCTAAAGCGATATATCCAAAAAAAAAGCATTTCCAATATCTGATCGGAATTGAAAGTAAAGTTATTGTTACGAGAGAAAAGGGCGAAACATATCAAGCTTTCTTCGCAAGAGTCGGAATTCCCCAAAAGTCGAACAAATCGATTGGTTCTGGNGATGGCTGCATGGTTCTCAGCAATCTCACATCATTTGTTATTTGGAGTAAACTAGGCTGATTGTGCTTTGGCAACCAATCAACAGAATCCATGCGCACTTTGATGTTTACACCATATGGTGCTACGTATTTTGCAACCGATTTTTCTTGGTTGGAATAACATACAATTAAGATTTACAATTGCCGAAAGAGGTTAACAACAACGGTAACTGAATGAAAATTTTTAAAAGCAAACGAAAAGGGTATTCTTGAAATCTGTCGCAGATGATTTCCTATTTTCAAAGTTTATCGATCACCAGCACTGATTAATGCTTGTTGATCCAATTGTGTCAGTCTTCTTCATTAGTGACAATACAGTGATTGCGTGGGGTGCTCTAGGAAACTAGCGGCGTGGAATCTTCCAACTCGGTTCACGTTCCGTTTGTCTGCGGTCAAGTGTTTCTAAATTCATGTCCCTAATTGATGAATCTAAATTCTCGGTGGATGTGCCGGTGGTGCTGCAGTTTTTTTAACTCTCCACTAAGAATCAACAAAATTAAAATAAACAGAAACACGTTAACACAAATATTGTGAAGAACTGTGCAAACGTTTTTATGGAGGTACTGAGCATAGCGGCGTTACCCAGCTTGGGGCAGCTTAGATCAAGTGACCTTCGTTCCAGTGTAGACGGTTTGTCTTTAGGAGAGATGGAGTTTAACCTTCGTAGGCAAAGGAAGACTATTTAGTCACCAACTGCCACCTTACGGACGGAGTGACTAAACTCTAGGTAGTTGTATACGAATGAACAATTAACAGCAGATTTGGTTTGAACAAGCTTTCCGCGAGCCGTCCGTTTATCTACTCCATGAAATGAAAGCACACTTCCGAAACTATAAAATGTTCGTCGATTGGAACAACAACAACTACAACTACTACTACTTTAGAGAAAAAATCAATACACACACCGGATTGATTTGTCAAATGGCCACAGTAATAATTGATGAATTCGAATGATTAATGATTATTCTATTTGATACAGACCAGTGTAACTGACAGAATACTAAAACTCTCTGGGGGAAATGTAGATCTTTTTAAGCGTAAATTCCAACGACTTTCGATTTATCATCAAACTGTTCACAAAGTAGCTCAGCGAGTCTACCGTTTTGAAGAGCATTTGATGAACACAAATTGCAATTCATTTTCCGCACGAAACCGAAAGAGTTAATTTTGGTTCATCAAAGTGACGAGCGATACCTTGTTTGTCAGTACACTGACTCCAATTACAGAGGAGTATTGAGATTACTTTTAACACATTGTGATCAGTTAGTAAAAGATTAACAGTGAAAAAGATCAGCTTTGATAGTCATGTACTGATTAGGAAACGCAGAACCTTCAGCAAAGAAGTGTTTAAAAAATGTGTTTTTCTAGACAACACACGAAGTTGAAGAGGTGTAAACGAGACAGTACAATACACGATTGGTTGGTACGCATTTCAGGGTACGGGAGTGTTTTTGGCACGTTGTTTATGTTGAAAACCATGTGTGCGATGGGAGATGCATCTAAATTCAGTGCTAGATACATCCACAGTCAAATTTAGGCGTTATTGTTAGGATTGCCATGCGTCAATGGATTGGGGGAAGACGGTTCGTGCAGGGGTAATTTACGACTGAAACACGTGTTCTTTTCTACGGTGGCCTAAAACGTGACAAACATTTACAAGGAAGTGGACATTTTTCTCTCCCTCTGTTTCTCTGGCTGAAACGAATGGAATAGACACAGCTACACAAGATGCGCTATCTAAAGCGCGTGAATTCATGACATTTCAAGCTGCTTGTTGTGAATATCGAAATGGATCAAAGATTCTCCTCAACGAGAAATCGAACTTGGCATGAACTGTCTCTGGGTGTTTTTTTAATTTGAATTTATCAGGGACCTAAAATATTCTTTGGTGAAAGAAGATTATTGGTTGGGATAATCACTCCGAGGTACCGACTCCGAAACTGATCGTCCTAGGTCATTTTGCGGGTTTATTTACTTCAGAGAAATGCATTTGGTACCCATTTCGTGTTTCAAAAACAATCTTTCAATCAATTTTATAACTATACTACATAAATACATTATAATGATGGTGGTCAATCAGACCGCTGTGACGGAATACAATACAACAGTACAACAAAAAAGTAAGAGTCGGACATTCACTTTACGAACACCGAGTTGATATGTTACTGAAATGTAATATATGAATGCTTAAGTTCAGCTGCGATATTAATTAAACAAAATTCTGTGAACACTTATCTAACACCAGGTTTTACTGAAAAATGTAAAAATACATACATTCTGACATACCGCTTCTTGATTGGTTATAAAACAAAATGAAGATAATTGCAGCTTTTGAAATTTCCAACACCTTGCTCAACACGTTGCTTAAAATGTGGAAAATGAAGAAGAACAACTTATGATCCTGTTTGCAAGAATAAACGAGACCATATCTTTCTTGGGATGTGTATGTTAAATAACTCTGCACTACTTGGATGGATGGGACGTTTATTATATCCAACAAAAAGTGTCACACCAATTTGTGTTTTTAAATTGATATAATTAATTGTCATTGTGCGTCAGTTGCTCTATTGTATTTTAAAATCAAACCAATTTTAGGATAGATCCTCAGCTGGTAATTTTCGTTCTCTCCGAAACATGCAAAAGTTCTTAAACCCCTTTATTCAACCGTCGTTTGAACTGTTCGAACGAACGTGTATTCGGAAAGCGATCATTACAGTCACTTGTTTGTCATTTGTCGTATCAGCCACACACACCCCATTGTCATTATGCCCATTTTAGAGTCTTATCTTCCGTCTCCCAATGTCACAATCGTTAATCATCATGGGCTGACGTGGTGCGTTATTGCGTTCATTATTCTTTATCAGAATAAAGAGTCGGGGTAAAGACACTGGATCGCAATCAATACTGTCACGTGATGACCCACAAAGTTCACTCATTTCATGACCACATACCAAATAGGAATGACACTAAACGTAGATATCGAGTTTGAAAATAAAATTTCAGCAGAACATTTTTCAAACAATCAACGAAGAGTATTTCTTAACTAGAGTGATTTTAACAGTATTTGTGAACTTAATAAAGTTTCATTTTCAAGTACTGCAAAAATAAAATTTCTGGTGAATTATGAAGGTAGATAAGATCTGTATCATTCGTAATCTATTCTAATTGCGTAG